GCGTTTGATGTTTTAATATAAAGATTTCAATTAGACAATCACACCTCACTGATATTTGTTTTATGGTTCAGACTATGACTATTTGGTGTTTATAAGGAAGCTAGCTGACTGGCTAGCAACATAATTAAGCTGAAAATTAAAAGAAAGGCAATGGAGCAGCTCAGTCCTGAAGAGGTAAGGCTATTTTCACACAGTTTAATGTATTTCTAGTCGAAACTGCTTCTGTTATGGCATGACCGTTGTATTTTATTAAAGGCTTATTGGCTTGTCATTGTCACCTTCTTTTTCAGTCGCAGTAATGATGGGATAAGCTAACATGACACCGGCTAATCGACAGCTCAGTATATCCAGATTAAATTTATTTCGCTTGTAAATATGAGGCTATGTTATGAATCTCATTTTGAGCCAGTTAAGCGCCGATATAGAAGCGAATTAAATGAAAATATGGAGGTTGTTTCCAGTCAGCTCGTTAGCAAGTGATACGTTTGACAAACTGCATCTGTCACAAGCCTCGATCATCTGCTTTTTTTCTCATTCTTTATTTCCACAATTAAAATAACATCCTTATCGTTTTCTGTCGCTGGGGAGTGTGTAACGTTAACCAGTTGACAAGTTAAAATTTCTTTTGTGAAGATTTTCTTCACTGGGAATCCAAAATGGCTGAAAGACTGTCGTGTGAAGAAATAAAATCATTTTGGACCAGATGTTTGGTCAATTTAACTCACAGTAGTGATAAAATGTGCAACTATCAAGGTTACCTTTGACAAGGGTATGCATTTGACTAAATGACATCTGGCTTAGAAACTGAAATCATGCGCAACAAGCTTTTGTCAGGTCAGTATATTTATCATGGGGTCAGCTGTTGAAGCTTAAAACCTTTGGTTTAACTCGGAAAAAAACGTAGTATTTTATGGTAAAATTTATTGTAAGTGCAATTGATCCCATAAAGCTCTTGGTTTCAGGTTTTGGATATTGTTATTTGGCACTGGTGGATATTGCTGTATGACACTGGTGTGGATTTACAGTCAGGGCTTTGTGTTTAGTTGTTCTACTGTAAATTAAGACCAAACTCTGCCCAGCTCTGACCTGAAAAACAGCTTAAACCAGTCTATGCAGGTTTGCTGGTCTCACTTTAGAGCTGGTTAGGCTTGGAGAACAGCTAAGACCAGCAAACCATCTTAAGCTGGTTCAAGCTGTTTTTTCATCAGCTGTCTTATTAATTTAAACTAATAGTCAATAATTTGTTGATTAAAATATATAATAAATATACAAAATGGATAAGTAAAACAATTTTGAGTTTTAAATAATAAATAAATGTAGATGTCAGCCATTTACCTTGGATCTTAATTTCAACTAGAGCTCATATACATTTTCAAAATAAGCTGCAATACTGATTTATAATTGCATTTATTCTGTGTTGGATACCATTTTAGCTATTCCATGTAAATCTGAAATAATATACAATTAAACGCGAGTTTCAGAAACATTATGTCTGTGAACTGAGGTGCATCATCCTTTGCTAATTCAAACTGGTTTTACCTTTTTTTGGCTGTTTTGATTCATTCAGTCATGCATTTACATTCTTGCCATTTCACTGACAGTATTTGCTGTGGAAGCTGAGGCCTTCTCCATCTCAAATGACTCACTCAGCTGTGTAGAGTTGATTCGTCACTGCTGAAAATAATGAAGGCTTTAGGACTTTAAATACATAATACTGTTTGCTTTAAAAACGTGTGAAATGATATATAGAAATTCCCTCTTTGCTTTTAAAGGTCTGCCCTTGTGTTTACCTACTAAGAGCAATTAATGTCATCAGACTGTAAACTATTGCTCATTATTGATTTGTAATTAGATTAAATTGTAATCAATCTCCCTTCTTTAGATCCGTAGAAGGCGACTGGCCCGGTTAGCTGGAGGGCAGACGTCACAGCCCAGCACCCCTTTGACATCCCCACAGAGAGAGACTCCTCCAGGGCCCTCCGGGGCCTCATCACAGCCTGTCCCACCAGCTCCATCTCACACTCTGGGCCTAAATGCCCAAAATGTCACCCCTGCCACCTCTCCTATGGGGGCCTCGGGTAAGTGCTGTGCTGACTTTATCATTCAAAAACATTCAGTGAGGATGCATTGAATTGATTAAAAGTGACGGCAAAGACATTTAGAATGTTTGCAGAATATTTTGATTTCAAATAAATGCTGTTCTTTTGAACTTTATATGCATCAAAGGATTCGGGAATAAATGTATCAGTTTCCACAAAAATATTAAGCAGCACAACACTTTTTTCAACATTGATAATAAGAAATGTTTCCAGAGCAGCAAATCAGCATATTAGAATGATTTCTGAAGGATCATGTGAATCTGATGACTGGAGTGATGTAGTGCTGTCAAACAATCAATCGCGATTAATCGCATCCAAAATAAAAGTTTTTGTTTACATAATACATGTACTGTGTATATTTATTATTTATATATAAATACACACACATACAGTATATATTTTGAAAATATTTACATGTATGTACATTTATATATTTATGTTCTTATATCGTATATTATATATAAATACATTTAATATATAAACAGCATATTTTTCTTAAATATATAAACATGCATGTGTTTGTATATGTATATATATATATATATATATATATACACAGTGTACACATATATTATGTACACAAACTTTTATTTTGGATGCGATTAATCGTTTGGCAGCTCTAGAGTAATGGATGCTGAAAATTCAGCTTTACCATTGCAGGAATATATTACATTTTAAAATATATTCAAATAGAAATCAATTTTTAAATGTAATAATATGGAACAATTTTACTGTTTTAAATGTATGAAAAATGGCATTATTAAGGACACAAAAGCATTATTATTATTGACCCCAAACTTTTAAATGATAATGTATATTTGAGAGAATAAAATGTTATAGTCTTACTTTCAGAACATGGGAATTTCCCTTATTTTCGTTTTTACAAATGCAAAGCAGATTTTGCTTTCAGATACAGCCTTTGTGTTCAGGGGAATTTTTGAATGCATGAAACATGATTTTTATATTGCACCTGACTGGATCAATAAATGCAGTTTTATACAGTTATCCACTAGGTTGCAGGCAGCTCTCCTGCAGTGTCCCAGTTCATTCTATTCAGTGTTATTAATTGTAAATATTGGGTATTTTATGGACACAGTGCATTTGAGCTGACAGATGTGAGTAGTGTTTGAAATCCCATTGTAGGTTCATTGTAATAAAATTTTACTATGACTGTAATCTTGTCTTAGTAAAAAGTGTTGAGGATAAAATGACCAATGTAATAATATTGAAGGTCTAAGTGGCCTTTTTGTAATCTTGTGTGGATTAAGCTTTAATACTCAAGCTATATAGCATTAGCTGTTTGTACTTCACTATAGTGATTGAATCAATGGCCTTGTTTTAAAGATTTTTTGATCAGTGTTGATATCAAGGTAAGTGATTTTTGGCTCACTGCGTCTTGCCGTGGAGAAATTGCACAGTCATGGAGGTGGCACAGCCTTGACCAGGGTTTAAATAAGGGCACATAGACAGGCAAGGCTGATGACTCTGTTTTGTTCTTGTTGTGCCATAGCCCCCTTTTTTTGTTAAATATCAATGTGCCATGTGGTAAAGTTCCTCTTTAGTTTAATTTTTACAGTCTAAGGACCTTTGGTCTTTTATTGTCTTGTAGATGAGCTGTAAAACTTCTGTTATTTCATGCTGTATTATATATTGAGACTGAAAACATCACATTCAAATTAAGCTGTATTAGTTGATTTTGGATGATGCTAATTTGTTTCTTATTCTGTCATACATTCATTTTAGTTTGTATCACACATTTGATCAAAACAAGTTTTGCTTGTTTTTTCTTTTTGGTGTTTGGCACTGATCTACTGTTCATTTAAAAAGCATTTCAGTTAAAGTCTTTATGATTGCATGCTTAATTACCTTGAAGCCTTGCTAAACTGAAATAGGGGATCGAATAAGTGTTTTGAGCTGGTGTGTGTTGTCATTGGAAACAACTATGTCCACTACCACACATTATTCTAGGTCTTTGAGCACATAATATCCACAGTTACATGAAAAAGCTGTTCTAGCACAAGTCTGCTCTTTGTTGTAGCTTCTCTCTGGAACGTACAGCATTGAGATGTAATCAGTCATAAGACAGAAACCAGGTCCAGTGCATTCACTCCTCTATTAATATCCTTTAAACATTCTGGTTAGGTTTGTTGTTGACCTCTAACCCCAAGTAATAAACGATTGCAGTTAATCCATCCCAAATTGCTTTTTTTTGTTAATTATTTTAGTCTTGGCTGATTTGTTTTGTAAACATTATATTTCTAAAGAAATGTAAAGGGGTCATATGATGCGATTTCAAGTTTTCCTTTCTCTTTGGAGTGTTACAAGCTGATTGTGCATAGATAAGATCCCTGAAGTTGCAAAGACTAAAGTCTCAAAACCAAAGAGATATTCTTTATCAAAGTTAAGACTCTGCCACGCCCCCCTAAAACGGCTCATTCTAACACGCCCCCACATATCTACCCCACTATGTGGAATCTTTAAAAAAGCATCATATGACCCCTTTAAAATGCAATTTTGAAAATCACCCATTGCCTTATATTGACAGAATTTCTAGCATTATAAATGTAACCAACGTTAATAATGGTTAATGTAATAATTGCATTCTTAATTGTAATTGGTCGTCTTTATAACATAGATTTGCATATCAAATCATAATTAATCGTGCCTTTCTGTATTTCTTTAACCACGTTTTTGCATTGAAGCATTAAAGTGAGGTCACATTAGCAAACTTTTAGAGAAAATTTGCAGACCAGAAAAGATCTGCAAAAGTTCCATTGTTAATTAATAGTGTAGCAATGTATGAAGCACAGCTGACACAGAAGTCACTTTCAAACCAAGCAACTTTCTGTTGGTCAACATGGCAAAATCACTTGACCAACCCAAAGGTGATGCAAAGGCTATCTAAGGAAGTCTTTTGTCCTGACATGAAATTCTTTAAAGGGGTGGTTGATTTCACTTTTTTAACGTTAGTTAGTGTGTAGTGTTGCTGTTTGAGCAAAAACAATATCTGCAAAGTTGCAGTGCTGAAAGTTCAATCAAACGGAGATATCTTTTAAAATTCTGGCAGTTTAATGCCTACAAAAACGGCTGGTAGGGACTACAACGAGTTACTTCCCGGGTTTGTGACATCAAAAACCCAGATAAACCCCGCCCCCGGGAACATGCAACGAAGGGGGCGAGGCTATGCTGCGCTGCTTTAGAGAAGAGGAAGAGAAAACTAGGGGTGCACGTAAAAATCTATTCATATATGAATCGTGATTCTGTCTTTTAACGATTCTAATGGATTCACAAGATTCAAAATCAATGTTCTAAAGCAGCGATTCTAATTCTGTTCCTCACACCCCCTGTTCTGCATCTCTCTCTCTCTCTCTCTCGCGCTCCCATTTTGGGAGAAGGAACAGAGCTGTGTAGAATAAAGGTAAATTATGTGAAAAATAATGCGTTTTATTAAAAACGAAGCATTAACACATGTTAGACTGCACCCCATAAACACAATCAAGCCTAGAAAAAACCAATCAACCACCCCTTTAAAGTGTGAATTCTAGTTGACTGAAAGTGACTGGAAAAAATAACAAAAAAATCCAGGTTTGCTGTGCTTGTTTTAGGGCTGCATCATTTGGCCAAAATATTGTGATTTATATATAATTAAAAAACACTAAAATTCTTAAAGAACACAATAATGATCCTAACAACGACACTGATTAATTTAATTGATATATTGTTTTAAAATATACATTGATTCACTGTCCTGCACTGATATGTGCTTCAAGAATTGCTGATGTAGATTTAGTTTTTTCCCCTCTAACTCTGTGCTTGTTTTCTGGGTAAAAGAGGTCCAGATTTCCAGTTTTGAGACAAGTGTTTGCAAACCTTGGAAGATTTAGTGAGCTTTAGAGAGCCATTTTCATTGCATGTTTCGATTCATTCTTAACTGAAAATTGTTCAAATGTCCTTTAGTTAAACTTGAACTATGTGGTTTGTATTCCAGCCATGAAAGTTTCAGAAAGTTTTTCTTGAGCTTGATTACAGCTTAGCCAATTTTTTCCATGACACAATCAGCAGATTCGTACTGAAACACAGTGCTTCCTTTTGTGCTTTCCATTACCGTAGGGGTTGCTTACCGCAGCCAGAGCAGCGAAGGGGTCAGCTCTCTCTCCAGCTCTCCATCTAACAGTCTGGAGACGCAGTCCCAATCCCTGTCCCGCTCCCAGAGCATGGACATTGACACAGCCTCCTGCGAGAAGAGGTGAGAGACAGCCGTGGACCTTTGTCCTCTCTGTGCTCCTAATCAAAGATAGAGCATGACGTAAGAGCTCAAACTGAGATTGTGCTGGAGATGAAGTATTGTATCTCACTTCAAGTAGTCTCTTTAATCTGCAGAATCTCTCTTCTGTTGGATTGCAAATGCTTTTGGACTCTAGCCACATAATTTCTAAAGTGCATATAAAGATAAATACATACAGCTGGAACTTTATATATTAAGTAAACCTTCTCTATCATAAGCTACATAGTCTTTGTATCTTCTATTGTACCTTTATAACATGCAGTGCTAAAGTTATATAGTTTTACAATTAAAGAGTTGAACTGCTACTTGAGCTAGATCTCATCTTTGTGGTCTTCAGCATGTCTCAAGTAGATGTGGACTCAGGAATTGAGAATATGGAGGTGGAAGACAGTGATCGCAGAGAGAAAAGGAACCTGGCTGAAAAGGTAACCAGATGCACTAATAAAAAGATAATTATTTTTATTCAATGGCCGATAACGGATAAGTGGCATATTCAATTGTTATACTATTTGTCTAAATAAAAAAAATAAAAAACACGTTTAACAGGGTATTGGTGTTTTTAATTATGCACTTTGAGTCTTAGATGATAGCAAAGGTAATCTAAAAGTGCATGATAATTTTCTCTATTTTTGCAATATCGGCTGATACCAATAAACAATGTGTTGGACAATGGGGTCAAGTCACAAAGTTTGAGAACCAATAATCTAAAGTATTTTTAAGTGACATGCTGAATTAATATTTGCAGGATTCCTCATCCAGTTCTGACGTCTCTGAAGAGCAGGCTTTGCACCTCATCTGTAAGATCTTGCGTGTCTCTTGGAAGGACCAGGACCGTGATGTCATCTTCCTCCCCTCACTTGCTGCTGAATTCCAGAAGAACCCTAGGGATGGTATGGGCAAAAAGCAATAGAGGGTGTAAAGCCCCGTTCACACCAAGAACGATAACTATAAAGATAACGATATTAGCGTCCACACCAGCGAACGATATCGTCTGTTTATTCTAAGCGCACATGCGTCTGCCACTTTAAATTCTTGAGCTCGTTACAGCAGGATGGATTCTGATTGGCTGTCAGTGTTTTATCGTTCATCAGCTGGAAAAAAATCGTTTTGAAAGTGATCACAACGATATCGTTCCTCTGTATCGTTATCGTTATAGTTGTGGTGTGAACTATGCTATTCTTTAATATTGAGAACGATTTTTAGAACTATATCTTTATCGTTATCTTTATAGTTATCGTGCTTGGTGTGAACGGGCCTTAAGACATAGAATTCTGATTTCTCTGGAATTGAATTGCATTGTGCTTTCATCTAGTTTACTCTGACTTCAAAGACCTGATCGGACAGATTTTAATGGAGGCTCTAATGATGTCCACCCGATCACGTGACTGTAACCCATTCGCCAGCTTGACCGCCACATCTCAGCCAATTACCGCTGCCAGATCCCCGGACCGTCACCTGACTCTTGTCCCACCCTCCAGCCAGAGCGGCAGTCCCATGATGCCCTGCGCTGGTTCATTCGGTGCCAGCTCTCTTTCCAGGCAAGTGTGATAGCTGACAAACTCTCCTTTTAAAAGGAATTATGTATCCACCTACACTGGTGGCCAAAAGTTTGGACTAATTAAGTCTTTTTAAATGTTTTTGAAAGAAGTCTCTTATGCTCACCAAGACTGCATTTATTAGAATGCATTTTAAAATATACAGTAAAAACAGAAATATTGTGAATCTTTTCTTTTTTAATGTATTCTAAAATGTAATTTATTCCAGTGATGGCAAGCTGAATTCAGAGGCCATTACTCCACTCTTCAGTGTCACATGATCCTTCAGAAATCATTCTAATATGCTGATTTGGTTCTCAGTTATTATTGTTCAGCAAAAACGTTTTTCAAAGGGCACCTATTATGCCCCTTTTTACAAGATGTAATATTAGTCTTGGGTGTCCCCAAAATGTGTCTGTGAAGTTTCAGCCCAAAATACCCAACAGATCATTTATTATAACAGCTGGAAAATGTAGTTTTTGGGGGGTGTCTAAAAAAGAGCTGTTTTGGAGTGTAACGCTTTAAATGCAAATGAGCTAGATATTCCCGCCCCGTCTCCAGAAGAGGGCGTTGCATATACGTCTCTCTGCATTGCATATCTACAGCAATAAACAGCCGGTAGAAGCAACTGGGAGCGAGAGAACCGGTGTTCAGCCGTACATATGGTTTAAAGGGGATTAAAAAATGAGAAGTGGGTGGATTTTTATCATTGTAGGGTGGTTGTGTTCACACACTGTCAACACACATTTATGTCCAAACACCATGTAAAAGTGGATTTTGTATAATAGGTGCCCTTTCAACATTGATAAAAATAAGAAATGTTTCTTGAGCACCATATTCTGCATATTAGAATGATTCTTGAAGGAACATATGACACCGAATTCAGGAGAAATGACTGCTAAAAATGTAGATTTGCCATCACAAAAATTCATTGCGTTTAAAAATATATTCAAAACGGTTATTTTAAATTGTAGTAATATTACCATTTTTGCTGTATTTTTAACAAAAAATGCAGCCTTGGCGAGCAGAAGAGACTTCTTTCGAAAAAAAAAAAAAACATAATTCCAAACTTTTGGCCGCCAGTGCACACATCCACCTACACCCCTTTGTCTCACATTCTTGATTTTTCTTTAAATTTCCTCCTCCTTCTTTGTTTCCGCCTTCATTTTCATCAATGTCTTTGTTGTTTTCAGTCTTTACGGTTGTAGCCCAAACCCACTCGCTCTGAGCTCTGCCAGAATGAGTGCTCCATCTGTCCCACTGGCTTCTGCAGCCGCCCTCCCGGTTCCCCCAAGTCCTCCTGTCTCTCGCCCTCCCACCAGCCTTCCACCTCCCTCTCCATCCACCCCTCTGCCCATCTCCCAGAGATACAGGCTCTATCTGACTTCAGAGACCTGATTGGACAGATTTTAATGGAGGCTCTCATGATGTCCACCCGTTCGCGTGACTGTAACCCATTCGCCAGCTTGACCGCCACATCTCAGCCAATTACCGCTGCCAGATCCCCGGACCGTCACCTGACTCTTGTCCCACCCTCCAGCCAGAGCGGCAGTCCCATGATGCCCTGCGCTGGTTCATTCGGTGCCAGCTCTCTTTCCAGGCAAGTGTGATAGCTGACAAACTCTCCTTTTAAAAGGAATTATGTATCCACCTACACTGGTGGCCAAAAGTTTGGACTAATTAAGTCTTTTTAAATGTTTTTGAAAGAAGTCTCTTATGCTCACCAAGACTGCATTTATTAGAATGCATTTTAAAATATACAGTAAAAACAGAAATATTGTGAATCTTTTCTTTTTTAATGTATTCTAAAATGTAATTTATTCCAGTGATGGCAAGCTGAATTCAGAGGCCATTACTCCACTCTTCAGTGTCACATGATCCTTCAGAAATCATTCTAATATGCTGATTTGGTTCTCAGTTATTATTGTTCAGCAAAAACGTTTTTCAAAGGGCACCTATTATGCCCCTTTTTACAAGATGTAATATTAGTCTTGGGTGTCCCCAAAATGTGTCTGTGAAGTTTCAGCCCAAAATACCCAACAGATCATTTATTATAACAGCTGGAAAATGTAGTTTTTGGGGGGTGTCTAAAAAAGAGCTGTTTTGGAGTGTAACGCTTTAAATGCAAATGAGCTAGATATTCCCGCCCCGTCTCCAGAAGAGGGCGTTGCATATACGTCTCTCTGCATTGCATATCTACAGCAATAAACAGCCGGTAGAAGCAACTGGGAGCGAGAGAACCGGTGTTCAGCCGTACATATGGTTTAAAGGGGATTAAAAAATGAGAAGTGGGTGGATTTTTATCATTGTAGGGTGGTTGTGTTCACACACTGTCAACACACATTTATGTCCAAACACCATGTAAAAGTGGATTTTGTATAATAGGTGCCCTTTCAACATTGATAAAAATAAGAAATGTTTCTTGAGCACCATATTCTGCATATTAGAATGATTCTTGAAGGAACATATGACACCGAATTCAGGAGAAATGACTGCTAAAAATTTAGATTTGCCATCACAAAAATTCATTGCGTTTAAAAATATATTCAAAACGGTTATTTTAAATTGTAGTAATATTACCATTTTTGCTGTATTTTTAACAAAAAATGCAGCCTTGGCGAGCAGAAGAGACTTCTTTCGAAAAAAAAAAAAAACATAATTCCAAACTTTTGGCCGCCAGTGCACACATCCACCTACACCCCTTTGTCTCACATTCTTGATTTTTCTTTAAATTTCCTCCTCCTTCTTTGTTTCCGCCTTCATTTTCATCAATGTCTTTGTTGTTTTCAGTCTTTACGGTTGTAGCCCAAACCCACTCGCTCTGAGCTCTGCCAGAATGAGTGCTCCATCTGTCCCACTGGCTTCTGCAGCCGCCCTCCCGGTTCCCCCAAGTCCTCCTGTCTCTCGCCCTCCCACCAGCCTTCCACCTCCCTCTCCATCCACCCCTCTGCCCATCTCCCAGAGATACAGGCCCTACTCCCTTAGCTCGTCCATCCCCATAAGCCCAAGCCCCAGATCTACTCCATCTGGTATGCTTACGCCCCCTACAACTTCAGGTATACCCTCCAGCCCTTCCCCCAGACACCATAGCACCCACACCTCCATGCCTTTCCCCATCCTCCCCAGCTCTCCCAGCACTATGGCCAGAAGGACTGCGCTAGCCGCCCGGATGCCCTCTAGGTACCTTTTACACCCTGTTAGATGTGAAGTTGTATCTTTGTAGTCTTTGTGTTTTTATTCAGTCTATCTGTCTGCTTCCATTCGCACATCGCGGCCACACCAGCCCTTTCTCCCTCCTCTTCTTCGCCCTGTCCGACTTGCCTCAGGACAGCAGTGATGAAGAGCTGGAGGAAGAGGAAGAGGAGGATTTTTCAAGGGTTCAATTTGGGTCCAGGTATCAGTGCCAACGTGTGTTGCATGCTTCAGCGTGCTGCCTGGCCACTAACAACAGCCCACTGTGCCCAATGTTGGCACTGCAACGGGCAAAAAGAATGACAGCAAATAGTGGAGTTTTATCATGTGATCTCATCAGATTGACAAATTCAGCTTTTCTATGGACAGAGCTTTGCTGTCAGCTCAAATTGTGTTCATTGCACAAGGGTTTTTTTAGACCCATTCAGCTCACGGCAGAAATGTGAGCCAGCAGACCTTTAAACTCCCACACAGGACGTGTGTGCTGGATAACAGTGTTGGTGGAGGACTGATTGTTGGGCGATCGGATAATACTAGCTGACTGTGTAACAGAACTAATGAGAGCCAGAAGCCTGCTGTGGAGTGTTGTCTCACCCTAGAGTTCACTAATGCATGCTGTCTCATGACCAAAGACCTGCAGGGGGACGCAAGTATTAGAGGCCTTCTTTTGTTGTCATCTTGTCATACGTTTGCCATCATTTACTCATGGTATTAACATCTGTCTCAAGGGATCTAGTGACAAATGGTCGGCGCTTAATACAGGTGTAAACTGATTCCAAAACGTTTTGTGTTCCAGTCACTCGAATCACAGGAATCGTAGGAAGTTGCATGTCATCCTATCATATTTTATATATTTATGCATTCATGTGAAAACCTGGAAATATCTTTTTTTTTTTTTCTCAAGTCATGAAAAAAAAAATCATGAGAATATAATACAATATAAAAATTTGTATAGTAAATGTAAAATGCACAATTTGTCCTGATGGAGACTTTTGTACATGTAAACTACCATTGAAAAGTTTTGTGGTCGATAAGATGTTTTTTAATGAAGTCTTTAATGCTCACCCAGACTGCATTTATTTAATCGAAATATAGTAAACTATGGAAGCCCGTTTCCGCCACTGAATAAAAATAAAAAAGGTAATTGCGACAGTACTTTTTATCTCACAATTCTGACTTTTTTCGCACAATTGTGGTATATAAACTCGCAATTCTAATTTTTTTCTCAGAATTGAGTTTATATTTCACTATTGTAACTTTTTCTTCAGAATTGGTAGTTAATATCTAGCAGTTCTGACTTCATAACACAGAATAGTGAGTTATGAGATATGAACTTGCAGTTGTAAGAAAATAGCCAGTCTTTTTCCCTTCAAAATTGGACTTTATAGCTCACAAATTGCCAGTTTATATCTCTCAATTCTGAGAAAGTCAGAATTGTGAGATGTAAACTCACATTTGAGAAAAAAAAAGTCAGAATTGCAAGATGTAAACTCACAATTGCTAAAAAATATGCATTCATGTGAAAACCTGGAAATATCTTTTTTTTTTTCTCTCAAGTCATGAAAAAAAAAATCATGAGAATATAATACAATATAAAAATTTGTATAGTAAATGTAAAATGCACAATTTGTCCTGATGGAGACTTTTGTACATGTAAACTACCATTGAAAAGTTTTGTGGTCGATAAGATGTTTTTTAATGAAGTCTTTAATGCTCACCCAGACTGCATTTATTTAATCGAAATATAGTAAACTATGGAAGCCCGTTTCCGCCACTGAATAAAAATAAAAAAGGTAATTGCGACAGTACTTTTTATCTCACAATTCTGACTTTTTTCGCACAATTGTGAGTTTATATCTCAAAATTCTGAGAAAAAAAGTCAGAATTGCAAGATATAAACTCGCAATTGTGAGGTATAAAGTCACAATTGTGAGATATAAAGTTGTAGTTGCATGTTATTAAGTCAGAATTGCGAGATATAAACTCGCAATTCTAATTTTTTTCTCAGAATTGAGTTTATATTTCACTATTGTAACTTTTTCTTCAGAATTGGTAGTTAATATCTAGCAGTTCTGACTTCATAACACAGAATAGTGAGTTATGAGATATGAACTTGCAGTTGTAAGAAAATAGCCAGTCTTTTTCCCTTCAAAATTGGACTTTATAGCTCACAAATTGCCAGTTTATATCTCTCAATTCTGAGAAAGTCAGAATTGTGAGATGTAAACTCACATTTGAGAAAAAAAAAGTCAGAATTGCAAGATGTAAACTCACAATTGCTAAAAAAAAAAAAAAAAAAAAAAAAAAAAATTTTTGATCTAAAGTTGCAATTAACTTTTTAAAAAATGTTAATTCCGTGGCGGAAATGGGCTTCCATAGTAAACTGTAATATTGTGAGATATTATTTAAAGTTAAAATAAATGCTTTCTATTTTGATATATTGTAAAATGTAATTTATTCCTGTGATGCAAAGCTGAATTTTCAGCAGCTATTACTCCAGTCTTCAGTGTCACATGATCCTTCAGAAATCATTCTAATATGATGATTTGGTGCTCAAGAAACACAACTAATTGTTATCAATGTTGAAAACCGTTATGCTACTTAATATTTTTTTGTGGAAACCATGATACATTGACTTTTGATCAATTTAATGTGTCTTTGTTGAATAAAATATTTTTTTAAAACTCTTACTGACCTCAAACTTTTGAACAGTAATGTAAAATGGGTGGGATATGATTTATCAAGGCGTCTGATCACCAAACACCGCTTGCATTGTGGGGCAGGTTCTAACCATTGCTTGAAATGGAGATAAACCTTCATTTATATCTGATGTCATAGCTGTTCTAAAGATAATTATTTTGAAAGCTTGGTGGCTAGAGAAAAAGGGAAACATTTAATTATGAAAGACATCTCCTTGGTGGCTACAGCTATGTGGTTTTAGTGATTTACTCAGTTTGGGTTTTTCCCCAGAAGGTTCATCTACACTCTGCAACCCTTGTATTGAAGGCAGTATTTATCTCTCCTAACTCTCTCTTTCTCTCTCTAGCCTGTGCGCATCCGGAGGGGGGCTGACTGGTGACTCAGGTAGCGACCGCTTTACCATAGAGTCCTGTAAAGAGACAGAGATGCTCAACTACCTCATCGAGCGTTTTGACAGTGTGGGAATGGAAGAGAGGAAGGCCCCAAAGGTAGCTGCTGATAAACACTATAGATGCATTTCTACAATATTAATTCTGTACTCAGGCAATATAATTATATTCCGGTATAACAAGCATTACAAGAAAGTAACTCATTACTTCAGCCATTCATGAGAAGACATTTGTCAGTAGGTCAGAACAGAGGTGGAGGTGTTGAGCAGGTGAAAGTGAAAGACATGTCTTGTCAAGCCTAGGGTAATTACCTCTTTGGCATGAGTCTTTCATGTTGTTCTCATTTATCACCCTGTCTACAAGTAGACATGATGCTCTTATTATAATCAATTAAGCTACCAGAAGAGTTTGTTGCAGCATGTTGCTTCATGAAATGCCGGTTTCAGTTTCTAGCACTGTTTCAACACTATTATTATGTCTTTCTAAAATAAATAAGTTACTTAAAGGTACAATATGTAAGTTTTCACCACTAGAGGGCGCATATTCAAAGCAAACAAAGAAACAAAGGCGTAGTTTGATGACGCCGTGACTGAGTGTGGAATCAAGGGAGTTGTCATCTTCATCCCCACAGCCGACGCAATCCGATGGGACTCGAGCAGAAATCATGTTCGTGGATGAGCTAATGTATTAAAGATTTATTAACATCGTAGTATGAAGCAGAAAGCCGTCGAAGTGAAACGAGGCCGCTGAAGCAATTGCTAATGAGAGACGAGAGTGACACACGGCTCGAAAGCAGTCACCTGTCTAATAAAACGCACAACATATTAAAGTGTCTTTGGTATTTCCATGTTTTCTACAAAACAAACAAACAAACAAAAAAAATCGAGGTGGTTATGACGTCATTGGCAGGCGACACAATGACACTATGGACACGCTCCGTGTCACTAGTTAAAATTGCTTATTTCTCTGGATTTAAACATTCTTCGAAACATTTGGGATAATGCAAGTACACAAGTCAGCAAAATATATAACACTGTTCTAGTGTTTTTTGGATATTTTAATAAAATAATCTTACATATTGCACCTTTAAGTAAAAACTAAGTAAACTAACTTTTTATTTGTTTTATTTTATTTTGCAATTAATTTAAATAAGGCTGTATGTCAAAGCCAGATTGTGTGGTGTTTCTGGTCTGTTGTACTATGCCGTTTTGTATGAAAATATAAATATATATAATATAATTATAATTGCATAGAAAATAAATCTTTTCTCATTATTCAGCCATTTAGCTTTTCGTTGTTGAACTTGAGCTTCAAGCTCCAGGTATTTGGTCTATGTTCAAACACAGTGTTATTCATATGCTTTTCTTTTTCAGATGTGCAGCCAGCCAGCTGTCAGTCAGCTGCTTAGCAACATTCGTTCCCAGTGCATTTCCCATGCTGCACTAGTGCTTCAAGGTTCCCTCACACAGCCCAGGTCAGTTACAGCAGCCTTTTTCAATGCATTCTAAAGGTTTTTTGAAGGAATTTTCACATTAGAGCTCTTTGTGGATCTAAGTGTTTGACCTATGGAATTTAGTTTGTTTCGGTCCAAACTCAAGTGCTCATCTTTTTTAATTTTTTTATTTTGCAGTCCTACACAGTTTGTACAAGTGAAACGCTATAAAATGTCTCTTAAAGTATAAAGCATTTTTGATAGCTGCCTGTTTATGCAGAAATTGGTTTCAGGAAGCAGCGTCATTCTGTATGTGTTAAGCTTTCTCCTCTACATTCGTTGCTTGGCTACAAAACATTAAACATGATCTGCTGCTAGTATTGCATTGGCGATGCAGACAAACAATGTGAAGAGAGACCTGCGAGGAAGGAGAGCAGAATCAAGCTCCATAGTGTGAAAACGGACCTAGTTTGAGTTTGTTGCATGATGTTGTCTGTCAGTTTGAATGCACACAAGTGTAATACATTTTGAATGAGATTGCCCCCTTTCTTTCTCTTTGCCCTTAAATAGGACCCCTCTACAGTCCTCCCTGCTGGTTCCCTACATGCTGTGCCGGAACCTTCCGTATGGCTTCATCCAGGAGTTGGTGCGCATGACTCACCAGGAGGAGGAGGTGTTTAAACAGGTGGGAGTTGTAGCAGATTACGGAGACAGGCTGCATGCTGCGTCATATTACTTTTGAAGCTCAAGGGGTCTTTATTATTGATGCCAAACTCCTAGTGGTATTAAACATATTCTTAAGTGGTTCATTTGTTTGTTTTCAGTAAGAATGGCTCAGTATTATTTATCCCACATTAGGTTTTTTGGTTCCAGTTTGGACACTTTAGACCAGATAAAGGTCCCAACTCTGGTCCTGGAGGCACCCCAACACTACACGTGTGTCTTATGTCTCCTTAATCAAACACACCTGATTCAGGTCATCAGCTCATTAGTAGAGACTTCAAGACCTGAAATTGGTGTGTCAGAGAAAGGAGACTTGCAAAATGTGCAGTGTTGGGGTGCCTCCAGGACCTGGGTTGGGAACCACTGCTTTAGACATTGCGCATTAGACATAAAAAATATCAGCATTTCATAAAGAAAGATGGCAAAAGCACACTTTATAAGCAAAAATGGCACAGAAATATTAAGTATTAGTTTTTGAATGATAAATATAGATACACTACTGTTCAAAAATGTAGGTTCAGTAAGAAATTAATACTTTTACTCCGCAGTAATGCATTAAATTGATAAAAAGTGACAGTGAATACATTTATAATACAAAAAACATTTTATAAGATTTCTATTTCAAATAAATGATGTTCTTTTGAATTTTCTATTCATCAAAGAGTATTTTTTTTTTATTTAAATCACGGTTGCAATTAGTAATAAAAAGAAATGTTACATGAGCACCAAAGGATTTCTGAAGGATTATGTGACACTGAAGACTGGAATAATGGCTGCTGAAAATTCAGCTTTGCCATCACAGGAATAAAATACTTTTGAAAATAAATCCAAACTATTTTTTTTCAAGTTCATAAATTGTAATGCATCAACTAAAAATTGCCTTGGGGTCAGCTGTTTGAATGTCTTTCCAAAATGGCCAAGTCAAGCTAGTTCATGGAAAAGGTGTGGAACTTTTGTCTTTATTTGATCAGTGTTGTTTTTCTTTCAGATCTTCGTTCCCATTCTTCAAGGGCTCGCTTTAGCTGTAAAAGAATGTTCTTTTGACAGTGACAACTTCAAGTTCCCTCTGATGGTAAGAGACTGTTTATTCTTCTTTTAAAAGCATAATAAGACTGTATTATAAGGCATGTTAGGACCAAGCAAACTCAATTGATTTATATATGAACACTGTTAGGTATCTCTGATCTTCCAGACATATTGCACACAGATTGCTCCTCTGAATCTGTGAAAGACTTTGTAGGCTTTTGTTTTGTGTCTATGACTGATTTTATTGTTTTACAGGCTTTGGCTGAGCTCTGTGAAATCAAGTTTGGGAAGACTCACCCTGTATGCAATTTGGTAAGTTTTGTAGGTGCTTACGAATTCAAGTCAGCCAGGTTATGCAGTTCACTGTTAATATTGTCTGTCTGCGTGTATTTTTAGATCACCTCTCTGCCATTGTGGTGTCCTGACCCTCTCAGTCCCGGGACAGGAAGAGAAATTCAAAGACTCTCCTTCCTTGGAGCGTTCTTTAGTCTTTCTGTGTTTGCTGAGGATGATGTAAGTCATTTTACTCCTTAAACAAATAAGACTAATACAAAAATTGATGCATTGATGAATGATGATGGGAAAGTGGTTTATTTTTATGTCCATATTGCTGTTCTGTAGACTAAAGTGGGAGACAAGTACTTCTCAGGCCCTGCCATCACAATGGAGAACACCCGTGTGGTCAGCCAGTCACTGCAGCATTATCTGGAGTGTGCGAGGGTGAGCGGCCATCATATCACATACTCAGATTTTTAATGAGCTGCTTCAATATTGAGGGAATATTCTTTTTATAGAGCAGGGGTGCAAGTGAAGGCTTCAGTTTTTGGTCTTTCTTAAATGATTATAAAAATATAATTTCATGTGACTGGGGAAAGATTAAGAATGTGCATTTATTGTTAAGTTGCAACTTTAGATAAGAATTTATCATGGGGTTACATGTCCTCTCTAATGAAGCAAAAAACTCCCTTTTCCCAGTTGTCATAAGATTTTCACAGAATTTATAATGAAATGATTGGAATTAAGTTTGAATATTTTAATCAATATATATTAAATATATATTAAATACCATATTTTGTGGGAAAAAAAGTTCAGAATTGCACTGTGTTGTGGTAAATGCCTATACACCGATTTATTTTAGAGCGTAATTGTCCAAAATAACATCAGCAATGTTATTTTATGTAGCAACATCACAACAATCACCTCGCATATCTCTCTCATTCAGCTAAAATCCAAATGTGTGAGATTTGAGGATATTCTTTATGCTTGATAATTGCATTATAAATATAATACATATCTAAATATAATATTATAATGCTGGGTGATATACTGGTTCAAACGGTAAACCAGTTTTAATAACACTGTATGAATTTTTTTAAAACATGTGGCTAAGCAACATAGACACCCGTCGTGAATTGAGAGGGGATCCCTATTAGCTGCAAACACTTCTGACTAGTGGGTGGAGAATTTTTAGAACTATTAATAACACGCAACTAATTCCATAACTTGGCAAATAAACCATCTGTAAAGGGCCGTTAACAGAGGCCAGAGATGCTGAAGATGAACACAAAGAGGAGAAAATGCAGTAGCAGGCAGAGCAAACTCACTTCACCATGCGCAAAATATTGGATGAAAATTCTATGATATGTTCTATGATACAATCTATAATATGATTGTATCTCTGAGGGGAACTGACTGTCTTAAGGAAAATTTAGATGGTATTTTCTTTTCATCTTCCCTCCATATAATGCATATTAATGTAGTATTTAAAAGCGCAGCGAAGGAAATGCTGTTTGGCTGCTGTTTCATAAGCGTCACCTGCTGTCAGAGAGTGAATTTGTGTTCTCATTCAGCCTGTGTGCAGATGTTTTATGTAGCAAATTTCACAAAACTAAGGCCAGACCATTCTGTTTTGGCTTCAGACTTTGAAATTATACAATCCAATTTACATCAAAAACTGCTCATGCTACATATAGCATGTTAGTTAGGATCATGACTAAAATACAGTGGTTATTCAACCGTTTCATGCATTCTTATTCATATAAAGGCACATTCAGGGGAAAAAAACATGATAAACCATTAAACCATCAGAGTCCTAAAAAATGTGATACATTAAATTATTCCAGTTATTATTCCAATTACTCCAAATAATAATAAATGGACATGAAAACATTCAGCATAAATGAACATTCAAAATAAATAGACAGAATGCTGAAATGAGATTTAGTGAAATATTTTGTAATTCTGAGTGTGTGCTGATTTCCAGGGAGATCTGTTTAAAATCCTGCACAACATCTTGTTGAACGGAGAGACAAGGGAAGCAGCTCTGAGCTACATGGCAGCTCTGGTGAATCGTAATGTGAAGAAGGCTCAAATGCAGGTATGTTTGCTCAAGTATGTGCTTCTTTCTTATTATCTTATCGAGGTATTAATGTTGACAGTTTCTTTGTGAATGTAAACAAGCGGGACAAAAAGGTAAAATTATTTAAAAAACCTTACTGCAAAAATACCTTGCAGTATAACTGCAATTTGATTATTTTCTCCTCCTTTCTTTCTTTAGACCGATGATAAGCTGGTGTCCACAGACGGCTTCATGATGAACTTCCTGTGGGTGCTGCAGCAACTCAGTATGAAGATCAAGCTGGAAACAGTGGATCCTCTCTACATCTTCCACCCCAAGTGTCGGCTGAATGTCAGCCCGGAAGAGACCCGGCTCAATGCCACGATGGAGGAACTGAAGAGCTGGCTCGCTGAGCTGCGTGAGTGTGGGCTCTCTTCTGGGACAGACAAATCACTTTAGACGCTCAGTTTGACTTCAGACAAGCCATTTACTCTTCCTTCCATTCCTCCACAGATGAAGACCCGTCCAAGTTCTCAGAGCCCAAGTTCCCTACAGAGTGCTTCTTCTTAACGCTACACGCACATCATCTGTCCATCCTCCCGTGCTGTCGGCGCTACATACGGAGGCTGAGGGCCATCAGGGATCTGAACAGGTGCTTTGCACAGTTTCAGCCGTAAAAAACAAACAATTTGGTACCAAAACCATGTTGAGTAACGGTCCACTGTGAAGTCTGCACTAGTACAAAAGGGTAATGAAGATTAGCTAGTTAAGGTGAGTCTCAAAGTGGAACATCTTGCATTACTCATCGCTTATGTCAGATAGCCCATCATAGATATGATGTTCTTTGTCATGCTTTGTGAAAAAGCCCTTAATCTCTTTCTGATGAGACAGGCTAATCCTGTCCTGTCCCAGTGCCTCTTGTAGAAGGTATTTTCTTGCAGTCCCATTGTAGAGCAGCTCTAAAGTCATCTTATTCCATAATGCCAGAATTATCAGCTCATGTGTTAGTGCTGCATCAGTGGCAGTGATTCAAGTCCTTCACATTCAGATAGAAGGCAGCTCACATTGTTTATTGGCCTCATGATGCCTGGCAGATCAGAACCACAGTGACCCCTGCTGTCGGCAGCATGTATAACACGTAGATGGGCCAATTATACCCTCTGGATGTTTTTTTATTTTTTATTTAAGCTGTCAGAAGAGGTCATTTGCACAAGGCTGAATATGTGTGTGTGTGTTACAGAACTGTGGAAGAGCTGAAGAACAGTGAGAACCAGTGGAAGGATTCCCCGTTGGCAAGTCGTCATCGGGAGATGCTGAAGAGATGTAAAACACAGCTGAAGGTGAATGCTGTTATCCTTTATTAATAAAAAATTACTTGTTTATAAAAGTTTTTACATGCTTATGCAAAAAAATAAATCGCACCGTGTACGCCCGCCTTAAGATGATTTACTATTAGCCGTGTCGGAAATCCAACCACGGATTGGCATGTTGTTATCTCAGAAACAGGCTCAGCCATCACATTGAATCAGGTAAACTGGTTATATATTTATGTTTCAGTATAATTACGCACGCTATACCAGGGGCGGTTCTAAACCCTTTTTAGGTGGGTTTCAGCCCCCCTATCTGTCACCTTAGCCCCCCAAAACTATCTTAACGATCAGGCCAGTGCTGCTTCCTCGAGAAAGTTTTTCATTCTCACGTGTTTTAAGTCTTGTCAGTTTAAACATTAAAGTAATTTTAAGCCATTTAAGCCCAAGACATCTCAATGCGGTACTCACGCACTGTGATAGAGCGTTTCTATGCGCACCGCTCACACACCTGAAGTGCACAAACAGATAGCCTTCTCAGACAGCAGGTGAATACCAATGGCTGTCTTGACAAGTATCCTTGTAAGCACAGTCGGTTGTTTTAAGTGAATGTAAACAGTAAAGAAAATATCAAATATACATCAGTATAACGGATCCGTGCATTTCTTATGTAAATAATGTTAATCAAAAAGAGCAAAACAAATAATGTTCGCTGCTTTAATAGCTTTAATGTATATTTGCTTTTATGTTAATGTTAATAAAGCAATTCGGTGTGACTACAGTAATACCGTGGAGGGGGCGCGCGAGTGAAATTAGACCAACTTGGGGAGGCGCATGTCCTAAAAGGTTGAAAACCCCTGTATTACTATGCTTGAGAAAGCACTTTCTATTGTTGAGATTAGGGCAGCAACAGCTAATTGATTTAACAGATAATGAAAGTAACCGATGATTCCAGTATTGATTATTAGTCAGATCTTTGCCCTGAGGCTCTATTAGCCTCAAAGTGCTCTATTTGCCTTAAAGTATTAGCTTTAAAGTATTGAACAGTGCATTTACTTACACTATTGTAAGCACTATTTCACACTATCAAAAGCTTGGGCTCAGTAAGATTTGTTTTTGAAAGAAATCAATATTTTTAATTGATCTGAAGTGATGGTAAAGACATTTCTGATGTTATAACAAATAAAAAGTTAAGAATATCTCTTTTTCAAATAAATGCTTTACCTTTGAACTTTCTATTCAGCAAAAAATCCTGAGAAAATGTATCATGGTTTCCACAAAAATATTAGGCAGCACAGCTGTTTTCAACATAGTAATAATAAATGTTTCTTGAGCACAAAATCAGCATATTACAATGATTTCTCTTAGAATTCTCTTCTCATGTCACACTCAAAAATTTCAGATTTGCCATCACAAGAATAAATTACATTTTAAAATATATTGAATTAGAAATCAAATTTTTTTAAATTGTTATAATATTTCAGTTTTTTACTATATTTTTTATCAAATAAATTCAGCCTTTGTCATTGCTAAACTGAATATTTAAATAGAACATGCACAGACCCTAAATTAATACTTTGTGTATATATAGAACATATGTATTAAGTAAATGTCTGTGTTGACAGAAACTGGTGCGCTCTAAAGCCTGCGCAGACGCAGGGCTGCTGGACGAGAACCTGCTGCGCAGATGTCTGCGGTTCTTCAGTATGGTCATCCAGCTCATCTTGCGTATGATGGATCCTGCCTACCCACAGTCAGTTCACTTAACATCTCCTCTTCAGATACACCTTACCTTACATTCTTTTAGTCAAGTTAGTAGTCAAGATGGTTCTGTTCTGTTCTGATTTCCTGTCTTTTATCACCTTTCAGCGTAACCCTGCCTCTGAACCCAGAAATCCCCAAAAGCTTTGCAGCACTGCCGGAGTTTTACATTGAAGATGTGGCCGAGTTTTTGCTTTTTATTGTGCAGTAAGTTTATGACAGTGCTGAAATAGGCACATTATAGTGTTAGAATCCAAATGTAGTTTTAGTGAAATGTGACTTTTTTTTTTTTAGGTACTTTCCACAGGTTCTCTATGAGCCGTGCACTGAAGACATTGTGACCTTCCTGGTGGTCTTCATTTGCAGTCAGAATTACATAAAGAACCCATACTTGATTGCCAAGCTGGTGGAGGTGCTGTTCGTCACCAACCCTGCGGTGCAGCCGCGCACTCAGCGTTTCTTTGAGATGATGGAGAACCACCCACTGTCTGTCAATCAGCTTGTGCCAGCCCTCATGAAGTTTTACACTGGTAAAAAGGGGTCTAAAATATTTTTTTAAAGTCTGTTCTATGCATTTTGATTTATGCTAAATGAATGTGTTTTCTTAGATGTGGAGCACACTGGAGCCACAAGCGAGTTCTATGACAAGTTCACCATCCGTTACCACATCAGCACCATATTCAAAAGCCTATGGCAAAACATTAACCACCAAGGCACCTTCCTGGAGGAGTTCAAGTGAGTTCACCATAGTTAATACTGTGTAAAATAAGTATTATTTTAATTCAGCATTTGTGTATGTTTAAATTAAATAATCATGTTGTATATCAGCTACTGAGAAATCCATATTGATTGAACACTAATTTGAAAAATACAAAAATGTATATATATAAATGAAAAATTTTAAAGTTTAAATTTGTTTAAAATGTTATTTTTTTTATTATTTATTGTCTAATTTATTTTACATTTTTATTATTTCTGTGTAAAATGTTTTGTGAAATGTTTATGTATTTATTTTATACATATATGTTAATCATACCTTTTTTTTCTCTCTCTGCAGCTCTGGTAAACAGTTTGTGCGCTACATCAACATGCTAATTAACGATACAACTTTTCTGCTGGACGAGAGTTTGGAGTCTCTGAAACGCATCCATGAGATCCAGGAGGAGATGAAGAATAAAGATCAATGGGACCAGCTGCCCAGGGTCAGCATACTGTATCACAACTTTACCAATAATTCCCTTACCTACCCTTTTAACAACATTGTATGTAATGGATATAATGCACTGTTGTGCAAAGGGAGAAAGCATTAGCTTTAAGGCTAAAAGGAAGGTAGTGACTTTTAAAGGGAATGGTTGTGCAGGAGTGTTTCTACTTGCATTAACACTTTTTGTTCTTCAGTTCCAATCAGATCTAATTTCATGTGAAATGTTCTGATCCTCAGGAGCAGCAGCAGAGCCGACAGTCCCAGCTGACTCAGGATGAGAGAGTATCACGATCGTACCTGGCTTTAGCAACAGAGACAGTGGATATGTTCCATATCCTCACCAAACAGGTCCAGAAGCCCTTCCTCAGGCCTGTGAGTACAGAAAAAAAAAAACACATTGACATTGTGACGTTCAAAAGTTTGGGGACGGTTAGGTTTTTAAAAATATTTTTGAAAAAAGTATTTTATGCTCACCAAGGCTTAATTTAAAAAACCTATACAAGCAGACAGTTGTAGAAATATAACCTAAGGAACATTTCAACAGACAACAAAGAAATCCACTTAAGGAAGCACCTACAAAAAAGGTAGAGCGTAACAAAGTCTAAGTAATTTAGGTTTGGTTAATAGGAAAAAGCATGAGGATTTTAATCTGCTGCTTGCCTGTAAATGAATCTCCTGCGCTCTGCTCTCTGCAGGTATTTATAGTCTTAAGGGAAAATTGAGCTGCTGCCAGGGTCAGAACATTGAGTTTGTTCAGAGGAGGTGTGAGAGGGGACTTTTAATGACACTAAAAGAGCAAATACCATATTTGTAGGTTGTTGAAGATGCACATAAATTATAATGTTCCTTATGATGACTCATGTATTTTCTGTTGTATTGAACAGGAACTGGGTCCTCGTCTGGCTGCCATGTTGAATTATAACCTGCAGCAGCTATGTGGGCCTAAATGTCGAGACTTGAAGGTGGAAAACCCAGAAAAATATGGTTTTGAGCCAAAGAAGCTCCTGGATCAGCTCACTGACATTTATCTGCAGCTGGACTGTGCCCGATTTGCAAAAGCCATTGCAGATGACCAGGTCTGTATTTGCTCACTAAGATCATACTGTTTGGTGCTTAACTGTATTGCAAGAAAAACATGGGATCATTTATTTTTTCTCTCTCACTTTTAGCGATCATACAGCAGGGAGCTGTTTGAGGAGGTCATTTCAAAAATGAGAAAAGCGGGCATAAAATCCACCATTGCTATTGAGAAATTCAAACTGCTGTTGGAGAAGGTGGAGGAGATAGTAGCCCGCAATTCTCAGTCTGAGATGGATTACAGTGATGCCCCAGATGAGTTTAAAGGTGAGAGTCATCAAGTCTTCATTTGGTGCGCAACATTGACAACAGTTGTGCTGCTTAATATTTTTTGGGAAACCTTGGTTAATAGACAGTTCAACAGCATTTTAATTTGAAATAGAAATTTTCTGTAGCATTATAAAGGTCTTTTGATCACATGCAATGCATCCTTGCAGGAAGTAAGTATTTTTCAGTCAGAATTGGCAACTTTACCTCCTCTGCTGCCCATCTCAAATCTGGACTTCCCCAGGGATCTGTCCTAGCACCTCTGCTCTTCTCTCTCTACGTGCTTCCCTTAGGTTCGATTCTGAGAAGGCATGGTGTATCTTTCTATCTTTCCTAATATATTGCTTAATCTTGGGGGTAATATATTCCTTATTATTTGGATAGATCTTAATGGTCTGTTTTGGGACCACAGTATCAACACAAAAATGAATATACCCTGTAATCGCTAACGCAATACTATCAATATTGTCATCTTGATAAAAACGTCCCAATTTGTAGCCAGAAAACAACCACTCAACTCCTCTTTTGTACTGTCCTGCCACACATTAACTGTTCTTAAAACTGGTTTACTCTTCCTAAAGGCAGACCTGTAAATAGGAATTAATTGGATGGTATTATGGTCCGAATTTGAAAGAGGAGGCCTAATCTTATCTACATATGCTTCTTTGATGTTACCATACCATTTATCTAATATTTTATTTTTCCTTGTACCATTACAAACATACTGCTGAAATCCTTGGAGAGCATAGTCCATCTTACAATGATTGAAATCTCCTAATACAAATATTGGTGCAGGTTTGTTCTGTAATTGCTGATGGACACATTCAGCTATCCTTGAAGCAGCTTTTGATGCATCCCCACTGAGTGGAATATGTATGGCACAGATGAAGATATTTCCATAGTCTCTTGGCAAATAATAAGGTCTTAGACTTAAACATATAAGTTCAAGATCAGGAGTACATACCGTATCCTTCACTGAATAATTTCTACACCAAGAGTCTTTGATGAAAACACAAATGCCACCTTCTCTCATTTTCCCCGAGTTGTTATTCCTGTCCATACGAACATTAGAGAACCCCTGCACGTGAACAAGGGAATCTGGGAAATTACCTTGAAGCCAGCTGTCTGTGTAAATGAGGAGACATGACTCACGATATTCATTACAAACTCTTGCATTCAGACGCAGCTCTTCCATCTTGTTCCTCAGGGAGCGAGCATTGCTGAATAGTATTGATGGCAGCGTTAACTTGTGACGTTTTCGACGAAGTCGGTGTTGAACGCTGCCTCTTTTCCCCCATTTTTGCGGCCGACGATGATCCCTGTGTCGTTGCAACAACTCCTCTGGAACACCATCTAGCAAGCCCGGCTCTATTACCACTGGTTTCCGTAGAGATAGTAACCATTCCCTGCTGCAAACCCGCAACACTTTATCATGTCCCCTTGTTGTGGCAATGTTGGCGATATCGTGTTGCATACAAACACTCAATGTAATCCGCACATGCAACAGCAATACTCGGACGATCTTCTTCCCCCCCATTATTTGTTTTCGTTACACTTCAAGACACGCACAAACAAACCAAAACGCAGAACTTAACATGTAAATTTAACAACAACAAAAAAGAAAAAACATAAAACTTTCCGCTCTCTGTCACCAGATCAGATGATACCCAGATCTATCTGCCTATAAAAAGAAATGACCCTTCAGCTATACACTCTTTATTTGCATGTCTTGATGAGGTAAAGCACTGGTTGGCTAGTAACTTTTTAACCTTAAATGACTCAAAGACTGAGGTTATTGTCTTTGGTCCATCTGACAATTTCAAATTTAATAATTCTACCCTGGATAGCCTCTCAGTCTTTGAATCAAAGTGTGTCAGGAACCTTGGTGTTCTTTTCGATAGTCGGCTCACTTTAGATAAACATGTTTTTACTCGGTTGTTGCTTCCAGCTTTTTTCAGCTCCGCTTACTCTCAAAAATAAAACATGAAAAACCTCTCGAGACAGCTGTTCATGCGTTTATCACTTCTCGATTGGATTATTGTAACTCTTTGTGTTGTGGCATCTCAAAGTCCCAGAACGCTCGCTTACAATTGGTCCAAAATGCAGCAGCCAAATTTCTTAAGAAAGGTCGCAAATATGATCCCGCCACCCCTTTTTTGCGAGCTCTTCATTGGCTTCCAGTTCGTTTTAGGATAAATTCCAAAATTCTCCTGTTTGTATATAAATGCTTACACAACCTCGCCCCACGTTATTTATCGGAATTGCTGCATACTTATAGCCCTACCAGAGACTTAAGATCTGGTAATCTAAACCTACTTATGGTTCCTTGCACAAGGTTGAAACAGAGGAGATAGACCCTAGATTGTGGAACAACCTGCCAGCACACCTCAGAGCTGCTCCATCTTTATCGATTTTTAAATCTCTTCTGAAAACTTGCTTGTTTTCTTTAGCTTTTACAAGTTGAGGATGTTTGTATGCGTTTTACATTTTGATTATTGTGCCTTTTGTACAGCACTTTGGTCAGTCTTGTGACTTTTAAATGTGCTTTATAAATAAACAAACTAGAACTAGAAGTAAGTGTTAATTTTTTAAAAACAACCCTAACAAAATTTTTTTGAACAGGAGTGTAGCTACAAATGTAATATTTTTAATAGTTGATTGGAGTAAGTAACATTGACATCCTATCTAAACAGACCCACTGATGGACACTCTCATGACTGATCCCGTGCAACTTCCCTCTGGCAACATCATGGATCGAGCCATCATTCTGCGACACCTCCTGAACTCTCCCACTGACCCCTTCAACAGACAGCCTCTCACCGAGAGCATGCTGGAACCAGGTACCCACCACACACAGCTTTACAAAGACCGTATGAGCTGCCTCTTTCAGCGCTGCTGCCAAATGCACTCTATGACTTGTCTTTTTTTTTTTTAATTGTTAGACTGTGTAACGCTGACTCCATGCTTTCCCCTCTCTCCACAGTCCCAGAGCTGAAGGAGCGTATCCAGGCCTGGATGAGAGAGAAGCAGTGTGGCCGTGTTTGAGTTTTCTCAGTGAGCCAAGCTTGCCCCGCAGTTGAAATGTTTTCACCATGCTGGAAGTGAACTGAAGAGAGAGAAAGAGGAAAAAAATATGACCATACCTAAATTGTTTTCCCCCCTTTATCCTCTTTATCGAGCCACTGACTGAAAGGCTCATGGTTCTAAATTGAAACATAATAAAGTTTAGACTTTTGAAACATTTTGATTTTGAATTTGTATGTCTGCATACATACCAGTCTGAAAGGGCACACTGTCTCACACCATAAAGTTAACACATTTGGATATAAAGAAATTGTTTCCTGTTTTGTTTTTGTTGTCCTCATGAATGCATTTTAGTGGTTCTGATGGTAAGGGAAAACATTGAGGAAGAGGATCCATTTCATGTTTGTGAAGAATGTTAAGTAACACCAGTATTTCCATTTTTACACTCAGTAGAATGACAAAACATTGGCTGTAGACAGTCACAAACCTGCTGTTTATTTTATACGAGGAATACAACATATTTTAAATAATCAAATTAACATGCTCTAGACTGTCTTGTAGAAAATACAACAGATGTTGGTGTAAATTGATGGAAACATACCAGTGGAGCGTCAGGTGGTGATTGCCTCTGTATTAGAATTTTGTTGGTTTGCATAAAAAATCTCATATGTACACCGTTTTGACTAAAATCTGAATCAGAGCTCAAACCCAGGAACAAAATCAAAGAATGTGAAGCTGTGTTGTAGCATGATCGTCATAAGAATGCCAGTACATCACGTTTTTTTGTTCTGTTCTCCAACATTTTTTGGATCATAAAGGTTTATCATCTCTTGTTATTACTATTAACCCCAGTTGTTGGACTTAAGCGTAAATGAAGAGTTTTTCCAGTGTCCTAAAGGGTTTATCTGTACAGGAATTTGCTTCCTTTGCTACAAACTTCTTTTGGACCCAGCTCTTTGAACTGAAATAAATGGTAATGCACACACAATGACAGCTGTTGCATTTCTTTTCACTCTTCCTGACTTTTGTTAAGCCTTTAACCCCTACCTTAAAAATTAACAAATAAAACCATTTAGAATTCTAAATTGCTGCCATATAGTTAATGTGATTGTCACAATGTTCATTCTAAATATAATTACATTATTAATGTTCTAAAATAGTCATGATGAGATCCTCTCAAAATACACAAAACAATATAAAAAGGCAATTTACTGAGGGCAATTAAAATAGATGCTGCTTCAAAATATACCACATTTAAAATGCCTTCTATGATATGTAGTATTTAATTATATATTTTATTTTATAATGTGGCTAGATTAAATTGTGCTCAGGACTATTATAGTTAACTACTACTAAAACCATATTTTTACTTGAAATAAACTTGAACAAAAAAAATTAAACTTTTAGATAGATTCAAGTAACAATTGTTTTTTCAGCATTTCTCATTTTCATTTAACTTGATGTAAATACATTTTTTTGCAAAACGTGTATTATGAATTGAAATTATAGGCTAGCCCTGTTTTATCCCTGTTTCTGCTAGGCGGCGCCCTTCACTTTTTTGTAGTCTGATGCCACGCCACAGCGGATCGTAAGCGACCCTGCAATATTGCGTCACGGCTGCCTAGCCCACCTTAGTTTTTAGAGCATTCTTATTGGCTACACGACGCATAGCTCACACAATACTTCATTCTTATTGGCCAGACGGCCCGTCATTCACGATGTTGACAGGGCAGTTGACGTAATCATTTCAGTAAATCAAGGCATTCATCCATATCCTAAGCCTGCGAGAGGAACGGTCACCAGCATCAGCCTAACTAAATATATCAGGAACGCAAGCATCTTGCGCAGCGCTGGATAATGAAACGCAGCTATAATGGGTGTATATAACAAAAAAGGAACTATTAAAAACTTAACCGTCAGTCTTTTTTGATTTTTGCTGCTGGTTGTAGACGTCATTGGAGAATTGGCATCGTGCAGGATTTCTATGCTGTTTTAGTCGTCTACGTGTGGATATATATCGGTAAGTGCCGTCTTTTCTGAAATATAATTGTAATACTTGTAAATTTGCGTTTGAGCACACATCGCCCGAGTCGCGTTTGGGAATGCGAATGGATGTTTACCGAAATGTTTTGCTTGTTTTTGCAGCTGACTGCTTCAGCGAAACTTAATTGTGGTGTTATACACTTAATATTATTATATTTTTACTGATAATTGAAAATATATGTTCAAAATTACAAAACCATATGAGGGTTATGCAAAGAAAGTCACCGAGTTCATAGAAAGATGTCCGAATTAGTGATGGGAAGTTCGGACATTTCCACGAATCGGTTCTTTTGAACAGTACCGGCTCAGAAATGTACACCATATTTTCGTTCAGTCATCCCACTTGTCGTTTTCGGCTGATTACGGATCGGCTGATTCCTGAATACGAAAACGATTTTCGGTTGATTCAGTCAGAGTGTACATTTTGATTACAGAACCGTTCGGACCGATTTAATTCGTGACAGAGTCGTTTGGAGAACCGGTTCCCAACAGAGATCCGATTCAAAAGAACGGTTTGTTCTCAAATCGGACATCGTTACGAGAGACCAATAAAGGATGCGACATCATAAGATTACAATATAACACTTAAATTAGTGCTTTTTAGATTAATTAAAAGTTTTATCTCTGTAGCGGATCATTATAAGTGCAGCTATGGCAACGCCGGATATGTTGTCAACATCTAGTCTCCGTTATTAAACACTGAAACAGATAAACGTTTTGTTATGTTGTTTTATTGTTTTAGTATCATTAACTTCTATGAAAATATATGGAAGAGTAATTGTTTGTTCTTTTTCCTCCCTGAAGTAGACATAGTTATGTTTTCTCCGGCAGATTGAATTTCATGGGCGTATGCCTTTAATTCAATGAATGACTAGAAGGGCAAGGATTAAAACATCATCTTTTTTGGGGGTCATGTGATTGAATAGCGGACTGTTCATTGTTCTGTCACACTCAAGAGAGTTGAACTTCAAAAATAATTGCTGGATTCACAGATTCGTTGTAATCCACAGCCGGTCGATAAAACCAATACTTAATAACATATGTCACGCCCATAAGTGATACATGCATTTTTAGAGGAGCAGACAGGCGTTATGTGTCAGTGCATGCGTTTTGATATGTCATAACGGTCGGGTGTCATTTAGTCAGATGTGTTTACTAGTGTAATTTAGTGAGCGTGTGAATAGGCCCAGCCCTGCTGCTGCAGGCGAACGGCAGCCATGTTTATGAGTCCGTGAAGGAACCATCTAACATTATTGATAATCTGTATCTGTGTGCTGGATATTTACCTTATGGTATTGCGTTTGACCACCGGACATTTGATATGGTAAATGGGTTGTTGACATATAACAAATTAGTTCCTGGACATTTTTATATTAGATATTAAAGGGGTCATATGATGCTTTTTTAAAGTTCAATATTTTGTGTATTTGGTGTAACAGAATATGTTGACATGCTTTAATGTTCAAAAAACACATTATTAATATTCTATATTGTACATCATTTTGCTAAAACATATTTTGATGAAACTGCTTGAAATATCAAGTCACCTGCCCAAATATTACCTGTGCTGATGTTGAAGGAAAACTGATTGTTTTATTTAATCATCAGCATTCCTACAGTCATGGAAAACATTTGGAATTTTTAAAGCTTGGTTATTGAACCTTTAGACAAAATATAAAAGAAGATCTAAAAAAAATAGCATGTGTGTTTTCTGTTCTGTAACATATTTGATCCATCAGGCTTTTATGGCCCATTTAATATGATATAGTGAAAATATGGAGCTCATACTCAAGGAGGAAAAAAAACATAGCAGCTTAGCAAAATATGCAGTTTGTTGTAGATGGTATATGACCTAAAAGTAAGATGAAATTCTGTTAGCTTGTAATGTAAATAAATGAGAATTTTATGACAGTATAACAGACCACTTGCGTAAAAATGCATATAAATATCAGTTGTCACTCTATATCTCCAAATAATAGTGAGATAATATTTTAATGTGTAGTTTTTATTGTGAGGGCAAAACCCCCACAAAATGCAATGCAATACAATGAAAATCAAGAGACGTATACATAAACATTCATCAAAATCCGGTTCATTTTGAAATATTATTATATTTAAAAGTTATACCTGAGTTTACCTTATAAAAAGATTTTGCAGGAGAAAGACATGCATACAGCCTGAAGGTGGACATTTTTGTAGTTTTATTAGAATTGTACTTGCTAAAAAATGATGAACTATCAATCAGAAGGCAGAAGGCATGTATACAATTTTGTGTTTTGATCACGTTGTTGATAATTTAGAGGCCTCAGACATTCATGTATCAATCATGATGTTGTAGGCTTTAAAGGGTTAAAGTCATTGAAGTTGCAATGGCTAATATACTTTTATCAGCTATAAATTGTAACAATTTAAAATAATTATTCAAATGTAATTTCCAGTAATTATAAGCGAATCGAAAAGTCATGAAATATCATTGGTTGAAAGCTGTGGGAACCCTGTATCATCTTTTTCTTTTATGTTTATTTTTGGCATGCTGTAATTTAAGAAAATCTTCTCAAATGCCACATAACCTCTAGCGTCATTGCATAAATGATGTTATGGTGCATTCAGATCTCTTTGGAGGTCTTGTTTACTCAATGGAATCTGATGAGATATTTCTGGATAACTTCAGTCAAATGTGTTCTTGTACCTTTAGCCTAATAATAGCTGTGGCACTGAAAAACATTCTGTTTCTTTTTGTAGGAGAACATTCTGTGGGTTTAAATCACAACAGCTTCAACCATGTCTGGCGCCTCCGTGAAAGTGGCTGTCAGAGTGCGGCCCTTCAACTCAAGAGAGACCAGCAAAGAATCAAAATGCATAATACAGATGCAAGGGAACTCCACCAGTAAGTATATACTTGTCTCTATGACTCTTATACTTTATTTGATTTGCAAGCTTCTTATATTTGGTCACGTGTCTCCAGACAAGGTGGCTCTAGTTTATGCTTTTGGCTTTAGGATATGAGATGCTCAGAGTCAAATAGTGTTGTAGATTTATTGGATATCTGCACCATGAGTGACCGAAAGGAAGAATAGAAGTGGAATTGATATTCTGTTTGAAACTAAAAGGAAAGAAGAGCCTCTCTGTGTGAAATCCCCTTCTTTTAGAAACATGAGAGAGAATTTCTGCCTGAGGGACTTTAGTGTGTTGAGCTGCAGAGTATGAAGATACTGTGTGTCTTCAGCTCAGGTCTCTTGTTCTTCAGTTCTGCATTAGTTTAGTGGTAGAGGAAGGGAGAGCCAGTGAAAGGAATTTCACTGAGTTGATGTTATCGCCCGTATTTTGGGTGTTATCATTATTGCAGCCTAATGAATAAGAACGTGTGACCACACATCAAAAAATCATGAAACCTTTGAATCAAATAGTTGAAATTCTGTCCTAAGAGTTTTAGGCTACATATCATTATGATGATAACATTTGACACATTTGTTGGAAATAAATGCATAAATGAATCGGTTCCCTGAGTGTAGGCCTAACTCTGCATAGTGTATCAGATGTTTTTTGGACAGCATATGGGTTGTTAATGTCCATTTGCCAGCGGTGAGTCATCGTGATTCATCGCGCTTTTCTAAACAAGGTAACATTAGCAGGTTGAGCATAGAAATGGTGGTGTGCTAATTTTTAAGATGCATTAGGAAAGAATCTGGACCTATGTATTCTTTTAAGTTGGAATGACAGCATGTTAATGATGAACTTCATGTCTAGGGGTTTTAAATCGAAGGAAAGATGTAAATTAATTAAATTAATTAAGAGTTGGAGCTTATGTTTGGTTTTAATGAAACTTTAAACCTGTTTTGGTTTTAATTAAAGCTGGGTATCAATGCACATTTCCTGATTCGTTTAATTTCACAAGCTTTTATTTTTGTTCTGATTTTGATGAGATACTTCTAACATACTCTGCTGTTCAAACGTTTGGGATTTGGAAAGATTTTTAAAAATGTCTTTGTAAGGAGTGTCTTATGCTCAACAAGGCTGCATTTGATCAAAAATGCAATAAAAAACTAGGGATGCACGATATTGGATTTTTGCCGATATCCGATATGCCGATGTTTTTCAACTCATTTTGGCCGATAGCCGATGTCGATACCAATATATTTCCTTTTGTTTGGACACAACACCAAGTCTTTCCTGTGCAGAAATTATAAACAAATGATTTTTAATTTTGGTTCGTTTTGAACAAAAACTTAATTTGTTAGAATTAAATAAACAATAATTAAGTTCTTTAATAATGACAGTACATTGAAAGCTTTGAAAATAATTATAAATCAACTAGGCCTATATATCAAGCACTGCATTTTTTATTTTATTTTTTTCAGAAAGATGCAGTGGTAACCTTAAAATATTATTTTAAGATTTAAAGGGATAGTTCACCCAAAAATGAAAATTTGATGTTTATCTGCTTACCCCCAGGGCATCCAAGATGTAGGTGACTTTGTTTCTTCAGTAGAACACAAAGGACATTTTTAAGTAAAACCGTTGCAGTCTGTCAGTCTTATAATGCAAGTGGATGGGAATCACGGCTTTGAGAGTTAGTGTCAATGGTGTTCAGAAGTCAGGCACCCGGCTGTTGAACACGCTCAGGATGCGCTCTGGACAGTTCGGACATTGCGGTGAAAATCAGAGGTAAAAAACGATATAAATACTGTTTAGTTTCTTGCAGACTGATCGTTTCGTGTCTTTACACATCAATGTATCGTCACGAGCCGCAGGGTTTAATTTGGTTTTGTTTGTGTATGTTTTTTTTTTACTCTCAAAGCCGTGATTCCCATTCACTTCCATTATATGACTGACAGACTGCAACGGTTTGAGTTAAATTTTCATTTTTGGGTGAACTATCCCTTTAACAGTTGTAGATAGGCCTGTCGCAATAATCAATATATCGACTTATCGCGCAATATATGTACATTACCTCAATAATTTTTGGTCATGCAATATATCGCGCATTATATTTACTTAAAAATTAATGTCACCATGTTTTGTACAATCCACTTGCGCCTGTGTCTTTTGCAGCTTCTCGTACATAACGTGGTGTAGTTGGTGCTAGTTCAAATTTAAAAAATGCTTCTGCAAAAAAAGTTTCACCTGCAGATATGGTCTTGTTTAGGGATCTGTGCCTTTGTACATACGGACATCTGACTG